GGGCTTGCTGGGGGGCGGGGGGGATGCTAAGAAGAGGGGCTTCAAAAAATGTGTGGGGCAATGCCCTTCTCTATCATTCCGCTTTGCCACGAGCTTTTCCGTTCCCTTCGCCTTTTACTCCCCGCCCCGCCCCCGACACACACCCCCCTCGCGGATATTGACCAAGGCGTCTGATGTACACGGTTCCTCACACAATTAAAACAGCGCCTTTGCACGGGGTGCCGACATCCAGAGGAGGGTGGCCGAGAAGGGCCGCCCAGGCAGAGGGATCCCCAACCACTGTGGCGACCTGTCTGTCACTGGCGTGGGGCCGCGGGGCGGGGCTGCAGTGCGGCTTTGAGAGAGGGAGTGGGTAACCCGGTTTGAGCCTCACGATTTGAACTTGGACCAGGCTTCCCCAGCCTTCTTCCTGGGGCCTGGTTGTGTTTTGATGTTCAGTTTGGCTCAGTTGTCTGATTTAGCAAAACTTTTACGTAGAAAAGAAGCTTCCCTAGAGAATGTTGGATCAACCACGGGGTTTAAAAGAAGCATTGGGTTCTCCCCTTGAAGCCACCCTAAATGCTGTAATTCTCATTACTGGCTTAAAAATAGAGCCTTAGGATGTTATCCAACTTGGTGTAATTTGTGGAGATGGATGTGCTTGAAATTCCTCGTTTTCAATTTTTTTTTTTCGTTTTCAATTTTAAGTGAAGTTTTTTCCTCTTTTATCCATGTTTCAAGTCTTGTTTTCTTTCTTGCTCTCTGATTACTTCCCTGTGGTGTCTTGTTTTCATTTTTCCACTTCATGATCCATTGGGGTTCCAGTATTTTAACTTGAAAAATTAGTATAGTGTCCATTAAACCAGAAACATCTAGAAGAGAACCAAGAAATAAAATACCTGGATATAAATTGATGATCCAACACCTCTGAAATTCTTGTTTCCGAAGAAGCGGTCTGTCTTTCCTTTTTTAATTTGCCTGCCTTGGCAAATTACTTCCACCACCTACTCTTTTTCAATTTTCCTCCTTGACCTTAACTTGAAAGTTCAAAACTTTTGTTAGATAAAGTGTGACAAGAGATCATTGACTAGGATACATTTAAACAGTTTTAGAAAGCCGTGTCATTACTTGGTAATTGTATATTTGAAATAAAGTTTTCTTTGTGGGGGAATAATTTGAATGGGGTATTACATGGAAATAGAAAGTAGACTGAGTGTTATTTTTATAGAACTAAAAAAAGTGTTTTTGCTGCCTAGCAGCACTGAAAGGTTTTTGTGTTCAAATTGTAAGCATCTTCTAATGTTCTCTCTTGTTCATAAAGTACAACAAAAGAACACAGACAGCATGTTCTATACGCATGTGCTAATGAGTAAGCGAGGCCCATTGGCCAAAATATGGCTCGCAGCTCACTGGGAGAAGAAACTCACAAAGGCCCATGTATTTGAATGTAACCTAGAGATAACCATTGAAAAAATTATTTCTCCTAAGGTATGTTACTGACTACAATGACAGTTTCTATTTGGCATAACTTGTGGGGAGGAACCAAATTAGAATGTGTTTGTACCTGAAATCTCCAAGAGAGTCTCAAGTTGTTTCCTCTATTATAAATCCTGTGCTTTGGTTGTCATTGGTAATTAACCATGTCATACATGTACCCAAAATAGATTGGACCCTAAAGGATAAAGGTCATTTCTTATATTGTATATATTTTATCCTTTCTTAGTCCCTAACAAAATACTTTATGCATATAAAGCATGTGTTTCTTAGGAAAACAATTAAAGAATTGCTCAAGAAAGCAGAAGACAAAAACAGGTTGTGTGTTAATCAAAATATAAATCCAATTCATAAGCAGTAAAGTACTTATTATAAAATACAGCAATTACTAGGATTCATATTATAATTCTTAAAGCGATGCCTTGTGTTTATAACTTAAATGGGGTTTTTTTGCTGTATGAGAGAAACATGAAATATAATTGAAAAATCATGTGCCAGGCAGTAAGCTAGACTTTATGTACATCAGTTTAATCATCACAACAGGCCTCTGAGGCGGGCTACCTTTACCCAGTAAAGCATGGTAGTAAAAAGCATGACTTTGAGTTGGTCATATTTTCATTTTCATTTCTGCTCTCCCACTGGTGAGTTGTGATACTTGGGGCAGGCTACTTAGCATTCTCGAGGATCAGGGTGGGGGATTTTGGTTTTGTTTTTATTCTTTTTTCCTTTTGTAAATAGAGGTGGTTGTCAGGATTAAATAAATTAATGTCTGGAAAGCACAATGCCTGGCAGAAAAGTAAGTATGCACCATAAAACCCGCAAGAGCTGGAACCTGCGTAAGGTGGCAACCTGTCAGAAAAGAAAAACTCAAAATATTTTCTACTGTGACAACTGGTGAGACTGCGCCATGTCAAAGGCAGAACACTTATGAAACCCCAAAAACCAAGGCAGTCTTGTGAGGTTGCACTCACATCTTTTATTGTAATAAATTATAACTAGTATTAATTAACAAGCTTAAAAGGAAGGTTAAGTGAGCCAAGGTTGGAACCCTGATTTGTCTGCCTAACTTCAATTTATAGTCTTCTACTGATGTTGATGCCTCTATAAAGTATATTCACTGAGTAAGGAAAACCGTTGATAAATCATTTTAAACGGTAAGGCTAAAGCGAGATGTGAAATGTTTTTTATAAAGAGAAGAAATTCATGTGATTTCAGTAATTTTCAAAGAAGTCTTATGGCTGTCCTCTTAAATGCTCTAATGCTTTAAAAATCATTGAAAGGTGAAAATTGCACTTCGAACTTCAGGACACCTTCTTTTGGGAGTTGTTCGAATCTACAATAGGAAGGCAAAATATCTTTTGGCAGATTGCAATGAAGCACTTCTTAAAATGAAGATGACATTTCGCCCAGGTATATGTACAATGTCGATTGCTCTTGATTTCCGTCTGTGTTTTTGTTTTGGCTGGACTCGTTCAACCACCCTCTGTAATTTCTCAGGGAGCGGAAGCTTCCTTTTGGTTGAGTCTATAATTTCATGAGCAGGGACCGAATTAAACTCTTGCTCCTTTCTTCCTTTTTCTTTCTTTCTTCTTTTTTGTTGCCCTTCCTCCTCCAGCTTTATTGGATTGTGTAAAATTACATTTTCCCTTGCTCTTGTATTTTCAGGAAAGGGGCATGCTTTTCAAAACTTGTAATGTTCCTGCACATTTATATAAGTTATATACTTACAGCCACCACATCTGTGTAAGAAACTCTATTTTTATTTTAATGTGTCATTTATTTTGCTGTGAAGGAGCCCTGGTGGAAATGCAGTTAAACATTCCACCTCTAGCAGGAAGGCTGGTGGCTCAAGCCCACCAGACCCTCTACAGGAAAAAGACGGTGGCAGTTTCCTTTTGCAAAGATTAGTCTTGGAAACACTGTGGGGCAGTGCTGCCTGTCCTCTGGGGTCTCACTGTGGGTTGGAATCACACGGCAATTGGTCTGGTTGGGGTTGGTTATTTTGTTGTATCTTTGTTATGTCTTTACATGGAAATAAATAGTGTATAAACAAACCCTAGATAATTGCATAGCCCACTAGGCCTCTAGGGCATCTGTTTTCTCTGTTTTCCTATTGTCTCACTCACAAGCCTGCAAGCTTCTTAAGGGCAGAGTCTTTGTCATAGTCATTTTCTGAATTTCAGAATCTCTTAGCCCCGTATGCATACTCTTCCCTTGATCAGTATTTGTTGGGCCGGGTTCGACAGATGTCCTTTTTTGTCCTCTTTATTTAAAATATTTATAGAATTTCTTGGTAAACTTATACTCCTGCCACCCTGCCAAGTATGAGTCATCTGTTCTTTTTCTCTATTATTTCATTTATATATTTCACAAATATTTTCATCCTATTCTTGGGTGAAACACTATGTTAAGCTATGGGATACAAGGATAAATAAGAATCAGGTATGGAGTGTGAGATGTGTGGGAATTAGGTAATTTTAAAAAAGCTTTAAAAAATAATATAGGCTGTGCTTGTACACAAAATGTGCCTGTATTATGGAAAGGGAAAATACGGCTCTGCAATAGAAAATAGAAGAAGCTCACTTTAGTCGGGATAAGTTTGGGAAAGCCTTCCTTCCTAAGGGGATAGAATTTAAGCTCATGCTTGGAGAATGAGGAAAATCCCTGAGGGAATAAATTTGGGGCCGAGAAAATGGCGAGTGCAAAGATCTTGAGGTCAAAAAGTGTCTGACCTGTGCAGGGAACACAGAGAGCAGTGTGAATGGAGCACAGTGAGAGAAGAGAGTGTCCCTTCGATGAGGCCAGACACGTGTGAACAGTTGCAGAGGTTATGGGGTTGCAAATCTGGATTTTATTGAAATTCAATTGAAAGTCACTGAACCATATTTTAAGGAAAGAAGTGGTCTAATCTGATCTGGTATAGCTTTTAAAATATTACTCAGGCTTCTTTGTAAAGGATAGACTGCAGAGGGGCAGGAGTAGACACAGGGAAGCCAATTAGGATGCTAAGCTGTAGGCCAGTGAGAGAAAACAGTGATTTAGTTGGGAGTTTCTTACTTTACAATGCATCATTGCTTTTTGAATATGTGTCTCAATTTCTTTCAGGACTAGTCGACCTTCCAAAAGAGAATTTTGAAGCAGCCTATAATACAATCACATTGCCAGAAGAATTCCATGATTTTGACACCCAGACTGTGAAGTAAATGATTTAATTTATTCTCCATTGGTGTTGGTATTCTTGATAATTTGTTGTTTTTATAATAAAATTTCATGAAGGTAAATGAAATGCAGTTAGCAACTGAACAATGCATACAGTTGACAGACACTTAAATTTATGTGAAATTCTAATGTGTTATGTGTATATCATTATATCTATTGAACATAATTTATAATTGAGAGGTTGGAGACCAAGGTGCAGAAGGAGATAAGGCTTAGTCAGGAATGAGAAGTATAGTGAGGCTTTATTAAGGCGAGGGAAAACTCCCCGACGAGTTCAGTGAACGAGTTAGGTCCAGGAAGTCACAGCTTGTCGGTGAGGCAATGGGAGATATATAGGGCTCGAGCTAAGGAAGTATACGTTAACAGAAGGAAGTGAGATTTTTTATTGCTTGTAGCTGCAGGGCCTTGAGTCAGGATGCGACCTGTGGAAAGTTTGCAAACCTGCTCTCAGGAGTGCTGGAAAAGGGGCTATACAAACTGGCCTGGGAAGATAAATTGCTTCCTGGAGTGCTGGGGAAGGGGCTACACAAACCCAGCCTGGAGTTATAAGCTCTTTGGGGTGTTGGGGTAGGAGTTGCATAGTTCAAATAGGTCATCCATCTTCCCGAGAGGCTGGGAATGGGATCTGTGAGGTTTCATCTTCCTGAGGAGCCAGAGAGGAGGTGGGGGCTGCCTGGTCCAGACCCAGCCCAAACAGTAATAATTACCGCATATTTTGTAATATTTAAAATACATGTATCTTGTTCACTCAGTAAAAGTGTATTGAGTGCTGACCATATGCAGTTTTAGGCTCTGAGAAGACAGCAGTGAATAAAGCACAACTCTTGCTCTCATGGGTCTTAGATTCTAGTTGGAATAGGTAAATAATAAACCCATGGGACGAGGTGATCCACATCATGAAAAAAATTAAAATATAAGTAAAAAAGATTAATAGAGTATGAGGGAATAAAATGATAGGAAGCACTATTTTATATAGGATGGTAAGGAAAGGCTTCTCTGATATGGAAATAATAGAAACCTGAAAGGAGTGGAGCAAACCATTCAGATATGATTTCCCATAGAAAAGATTGCACTAGGTAGAGTCAATGGAAAGGCCTTAAGGCAAAGCAAAGTGGACATTTTCAAAGAAGAACATGGAAGCAAGTGAGACTAGAGTAGAGTTCATGAGGGACCAAGTGTTAGGATATGACGTCAGAGAGGTAGCGTGGAGTGCCGCTGATGTAAGGTACTATAAACTATAATACAAGTTTTAGTTACTCAGATGAAGAGCACAGAAGACTCTTATACAGAAGGGTGATGAGACCTTACTTAATTTCAACTTCTGCCTAGTATAAGGGAGGAAGCAGAAAGCCTATGAGGAGACTATTGCAGTAGGAAATTCATGCGAGATGACAGTGTCCGTGATCAGTTATCAGTCTCCATTTTGTCAAGGTGGTAGCAGCCAAATTTTGGCTATATTTTGAAGGTAGAGGCATTGAGATTTGCTGGTGGATTAAATACTGCTCTAGGAGAGTGAAGTTAGTGGTTAATGAGATTGAGATACCTAGGAACAGTGGAGCAAGGCAAAAGAAATCAGTTAGACTTTAAAACTAAGTTCTGAGATGACATTGAGCCCTGGTATTGCAGAGGTTATGCACTTGACTGTGAGTGACTGTGAACTCACTAGTCACTCCCTGAGAGGAACACGTGGCAGTCTGCCTCTGTCAACATTGTTTTTAGGTGCCAGTGAGTCATGTTCAATCATTGCTACTCTGTGCACAACAGAACAAAACATTGCCTGGTCCTACACCATCGCCACAGTTGTTGTTTTTGAGCCTATTGTCACCACCACTGTGTCAATCCATTGCATTCAAGGTCGTTTTCTTTCCCTCGGACCCTCTACCAAGCTTGATGTTCTCCTCCTGGGACTTGTCCCTTATGAGGACATGCCCAAAGGGCACGAAAAGAAGTCTCTCCGTCCTCCCTTCAAAGGAGCATTCTGACTGTATTTATTACAACTTAGATTTGTTCATTCTCTGGCAGCCCATGACATATTCAACATTCTTCACCAACGCCATAATTCAAAGGCATCATTCTTTCTGGTCTTCGTTATTTGATATGCATGTACCTTTGTCTTCAAAGTGACATCTTTGCACTTGAACAATTAAAGAGGCCTTGCTCAGCAGCTTTGCCCAAGGCAATACATTATTTAATTTCTCCTCCTCCTCCTTCTCCCCCCATCCCCATCCTCATCATCATCATCATCACAAAAGAATTCAATTCCATTTCAGTTTTACTTTCCCATAAGTGTGTCGTGTTTGGTTCTTTATTTCTCTAAGACCTATACCAAGTAGAGAGATTGCAGGATAATAAGGTATTTGTATTTGCATTTGTTTATGGAAACACCATACTGTTTTTCATAGTGGTTGTACAGTTCTGCAATCTCACTGAAAATCTGACGTAGAAGAGGTGAAGAAAAAAAACAAGGGAGGTGCAGTCAGCCATCCAAACAGATGAGTTTGACAAATATTTCCAAGAATGAAATTGCAGATTTGACAAATGTTTAAACTGTAATGGAGAGTACTTTGAAGGTGATAAGGTTGTTTTGTAAAAAAAAATTACACAGTTTTGGAAAAATATGTTTTTATGAATATATAGATGGAATTTCAATCGTGGACTATAAGAGCAGCCCAAGGGATTCAGTGTAGATTTTAAACTAGAGTAGCCTGAGAACTGAGTGTAGGTCATTCTCAATAGCTAGTAGTAGGAGAGATGAGGAATAACTACCGTAGTGAAAAAAAGTGGAGGAAAAACAGCCAATGAGGTAGGAAGAAAATCTAGAAAGAGTGATGCCTTAAAGGCCAAGTAAAGAATGTGTTATGTGAAGATGACAATAACAAAATTCACATATGACGAAGGGAACAGTATCAGAGCTAAACTTATGAACACCAATTGGTAGAAGGCTGTGGAGGACAATGGAAACCCAACTATATGAAGAGTAACTAGTTAGATTAAGCCTCTGGGAGACCCCACTTGCCACAGATAAGGGTCTTGAACAGCCGAACTATAAGAGATCACTGTAATCTTGATTACACCGAGTCAAACTTGATAACTTGGTCAGTTGACCTCACTATTGACCCAACCTGAATTTGTTCTAGGTGCAAGTATCTCTTGCATGTTCCATGACAAAAATTTCTTCCCTGGCTTTTCAAATATCAAGGGTGGTCTTTTCTTTATTACTTATTTGTATTTTTATCTTTATATTATTATTGTTTTATCCTTACCACTGTATTTCAATTTTGTTTTCTATTGTTTCTATTGGGTTTCCCAGTTTGTAAAACACAGAAGGAGTGCATGCATGTATAGAGATAATAACTGATGCAAGGGTTTATAGAAAATATAGGTGGGGGGGAATGACAGATAGGCATGGTGAGGGGATTTCCAGAGTAAACAATGATGGGGGTGGGGTGGGCACTAGAACTCATTGTGATTATACAACTTACTTGAAAAGTGATTTAACCATGGGGACAAAAATGTTATAAAATTGATTGTGATAGTGATTGTACAACTATTCTTTATATGATTGAATGATTGAGCTATTGAATTGTATGATATGCGGATTACGTGCCAATAAAAGGGTAAATAAAATTTTTAAAAGACGGTGTTGTGTGAGAAAGTGAACATCTGTTTCAAATGTTATTGATTAGGGCAAGTAGGATAAGGACATCGATTGACCACTGTGTTTAGTAACCTGAAGATCACTGACATTGTACATATGTATAATAAACGAGGATTTTATAAATAGTACTATTGAGAAAATGAAAACATCTGGATTGTAATGAAACATCTTTCACTTTGGAGGTTTTGGTCTCATTTTAGTGTACTGCAAAATCAATAGGTTATGTTCACATGTTTCTTTCCGTCTTGTTTTTTCTGTAGTGCTATTGATATTTCAGAGTATTTTACTCAAAACCAAAGTAAACCTGAAGAAATCACACTTAGAGAAGACTATAGCAATGACTTACTTTTCCAAGCTGGAAGCTTTGGTAAGACTAGTTAAGAAATACTATGTATGATATGATCAATTTTGTTTGCAATTTTTTTGTTGAAACAATGCTAGTAGTTATTGTGGGTTTGGTTCCAGACCCCTGCAATAAAGTAAATATTGCAGTAAAGAAAGTCACATGATTTGTTTGTTACCTAATGCATATAAAAGTTACATTTACTCTATAATATAGTATATTAAATATGTAGTAGTGTTCTGTAAAAGCCTGAAATACTGTGAGAATTACCAAAATGTGGCACAGAGATATGAAACAAGCACCTGCTATTGGACAAATGCACTGAAAGTTTGGTCTGATGCAGAGTTGCCACAAACCTTCAATTCGTACATAATGCCATATATGCAAAATACAATAAAGCAGAGCACAATTTGACCAGGTACACCGATAGCTATTTATATGCCAATAGAAATGTCATTACAATGAATCATTTTATGTCAAACAGCAATTCCCAATCATTACCAATGTCATTACCACAACTCAGCCTTAAGTTATCTTTTCTCAGTGCACAGCAATTTACATGCCTAATATATATCAGATGCTAACCTAGACGTGGAGTCCCTAGGTGGTGCAAATGGTTGATGGGCTTCGCAGCTAACCTAATGCTTGGAAGTTCAAGTCCACTCGGGTGCCTCAGAAGAAAGGCCTAGTAATCTACTTCATAAAAACCAGACACAAAGCATCTGGGGCGCAGTTCTATTCTGACACATGTGGGTTACCATAAATTGCATCTGAAGCAGCCTTTTTGTTAATCATAGTCATGGGTGCTACCAAAGTTTAAAGACGCAATTCTTTCCCTCAAAGAGTTTTCAGGTTGGTAGAGAGAAGTGTAAATCAACAGTTGCTATGGTTATATAACACATACAAGCTGTCACACGTGTGCTACATAAAATGCCTTTAAAATTTCCTCCAGTGCTTAGGTTCCCAAACTTTTTTGGCTTACTACCTCCTTTTCAGAAAAACTTACTCTGCATCCTACCCTTAGCAACTAGACACTTCTGTACTGTAGCCTGTAATACAGGATCAAATGTAGGTATCTGCTTGTTTCAGCACCCCATGGATTGTTCCAGCAGCCCCCAAAGGATGGTATCACCCACTTTGGGAAACAATGCTCTAGTGCAGCAGTTCTCAACCTGTGGGTCGTGACCCCTTTGGGGGTCGAACGACCCTTTCACAAGGGTCGCCCGATTCATAACAGTAGCAAAATGACAGTTATGAAGTAGCAACAAAAGTAATTTTATGGTTGGGGGGTCACCACCACATGAGGAACGATATCGCGGCATTAGGAAGATTGAAAACCACTGCTCTAATGTATGATGATATAAATGTTCAATAGCAGATTTAAAGAAATGCTAACACACTAAGTATTTACATTGATTGTAAAATATATACTGATTTTTTAAAGTGTTAAAATCTCTGTGGGCAAGAGATTTTAGGATTGAAACATTGTTTACATAAACTGTTATTTGTCCATTTTATGGCATTTCCCCTCTCTGTCTTGTATTATGATATTTACATAATTCCGGTATTGGTCTGCAAATCCTATGAGGCTAAAATCTTTGTTATACTAATCTTTGAATTTCTTATAGTGCTCAACACAGTAAGCCTAGGAGAAAGATGATCTAAATTTGCCTAGGACGCTGTGGGGCGGGGACAAAGAAGTGTGTTTGAGTTATATCTCTCACACTTTTTTCTTATCCTCACCCTCTTTTAATATCTTTTATTATTTATGGTGATATTTATCAAAGGGTATATGGTGACGAACCAGTACTTTTTTGTTATTTGCCGTCTATCGTAGACTGATACTTTTATAAAATACAATAAAATTAATTTATAGAAAAATAAAAATATAAGCCTCAATATTTATTATTAGATTCAGCATATATAAAATTACTGTATCAGATCGATACGTTTCTACTGTCTTCTAATTTCTGTAGTTTCTCACATAACCTACCTAAACAGACTCAAAAGGCCATAGAAAACTTCAACAGCTCCATAACAACTAAAGAGATTGAATCAGTAACAAAGAGCCTCCCAAAAAGAAAAGCCCAAGACCAGACAGCTGCACTGGAGAATTCTGTTGAACATGTAGAGAACTTCCCCCAGTCCTGTTCAAACTCTTCCTCAACTAGAGAAAGAAGGAATACTCCATAGCGCCATGAAGCTGGTATTATGCTGGTACCCAAACCAGGCAGAAACACAAGAAAAATACCCCTCATGAATATAGATGCCAGAATTTTCCACACAATACTAGCAAACAAAATCTAATAGCATATTAAAAGAATTACATAATCAGGTGTGATTTATTCTAAGGGTACAAATATTGTTCAGCTTTAGAAAATCAGTTCTAAAATTGATTGTGGTGATAATTGCCTAAGTCTTCTTAATATGATCGAATGATTAAATTGTATGACGTGAAAAACTGTTTTACAAGAAAATCAGTCAATGTAATATGTCACATTAATAGAACAAAGGAAAAGAATCGCATGCTCCTTGATGCAGAAAAGGCATTGGAAAAAAGTCCAGCCCTCTTTCTTGACAGAATCTGTCCTTTGTCATGGAGCAGTACAGAGAGCATACTCTGAGTATCATAAATCTGCTACCTATAATTCTAAACCTGGAAATAGAACACACTGGCAAAGAGACAGTCCTATTTCCTGCTACCCAAGCCCTTCTTTACAAAATCCAAAAGAGCAAACTACTGCCTTTTTCTAGCCTTGGAATGTGAAGATCATTTGCAACTGTGCTTTCTGTCAGCTTTATACCTGTTCTGATTTTTTCTTTTTAACTGAAATTTCTCTGGTTTCCTTTCTATGTCCCTCATCCTCAGTGTAGTTTATTACTATTTCCAGGAGTACTATAATACACTCTTACACATCTTTCTCCTGTATTTTCCTATATTTTATACACATCTACAAGAGCAATTGTCCTTAAATTCCAATTTTTTATACCACATTCCTCTTCTTAAATGTTTGAGTCCCAATGATTTATTGTATCAAATACTCCTGCTTATCTTTAAGGTTCTCTACCACCTTACACTTTATTATATCAGCTTCAGATCGTTTAGTATTAATATAGAGTTTTTGTTCTCCTTAAGCAAATACTTTTATCAGCCAGCCAATACAATTTAGTTATCTCTGTACTGTGACTTCTGTAGCCCAAAAGATGTGGAGAATATGGTCTTAGTTGACCAACAAACCTAGGTTTGAATCTGGGTTTTATCCTTTGATTTTCTATGTGATACTGGGAAATTATCTAAGCTCTCTGAGACTTAATGCCCTATATGGAACATTGAGATACTACTTGCAACATTATAGGATTAGTTCCTCATACTCTCCTTCAGTTCTCTCTGCCAATATGTGATTTTTTTTCCCTCCTTCAAAAACTAGTTCAAACCTAAAGCCCTCTCAAGTTTAGAAATAGTAATCCATCTTATTCATGTAAAACCTATACATAGAACAAGAAGCAGTCATTTGAACAGAACCAGAGGACAGAGAATGGTTTAAAATCAGGAGTGGTGTGTGTCAGGGTTGTATCCTTTCACCATACTTATGAAATCGGTATGCTAAGGAAGCGATCTGAGATGCTGGGCTCTATGAAGAAGAATGTGGCATCAGGATTGGAGGCAGACTCATTAGCCTTCGGTATGCAGATGATTCAACTTGGCTTGCAGAAAGTGAAGAGGACTTGAAGCACTTATTGATGAAGATTAAAGTTTTCAGTTTGAGTTACAATTCAAAATAAAGGAAACAAAAATCCTCACTCATGGACCAGTAAGCAACATTATAATAAAAGGAGAAAACACTGATATTGCTAAGGATTTTATTTCTTGGATTTACAACCAATGCTCATGGAAGCTGCAGTCAAGAAATTAAACAACATAGAGCCTTGGGGAAGTCTGCTGGACAAGACCTCTTTGAAGTATTAAAAACAAAAATAGTCACTTTGAAGAAGAAGGTAAGCCTGACTCAAGCTGTAGTATTTTCAGTTACCTCATATGCACTGAAAGTTAACCAATGAATACTGAAGACTGGAGAGGAATCTGTACATATGAAGTATGGTACTGGTGGAGAATATTGAAATTACCATGGACTTCCAGAAGAACAAACAAATCTGTCATGGGAAAACCACCCACACTCTCTTCTTAGAAGTGAGGATGGCAAGACTTCATCTCCTGTACTTTGGACATGTTACTAGGAGGGAAGGACATTATGCTTGGTAAAGTAACATCAGAAGAAAATAAGACTTCAATGAGATGGATTGATGTACTGGCTGTAACAATGGCTCAAACATAACAAATGTGAGGATGGTGCAGGACCAATTTTCATTCTATTTTCCAATGGCACCTAACGAAAACATTCTGGATTATAATATAAAATTGAAGTAATTATTTCTTTTGTATAAACTCAGGTCCTCCTGATGTTCAGTACTCATAATATTGTATCTGCTCATAAATGTTACTATCAGATTGACCAGGGCAAATTTTTCTTTTGGGAATTATCAGGCTGTTCTTGGATGATGTGAACACATTTTAATACTTGTTGAAGAAAATACTTCATCTTTCCATTATGCAGGTCTTTTGTTTAATACAACGAAGATGGCCTTTCAAAACTCTTCATCTCTAGAAGATATATACTGATACAGAGAAATATATATACAGATATAAAGAAAACCTTCCAAAATGAGTGCTTGAAACCTCGTGTTCATCTTTACTAACAATAACGTGGGTTGTTAAAAAAATGGGAAGAGCAGTCTGTGGTTTCTAAGGTTTTAGACTCCTAGACTTAGCGATTCAAACCCAAGACGTGGGAAAAAAAACATGTCAGAGCTACCAACCATTCTAGAAAATTAGTTTGAAGCAGGGAGTTCATTTTATCTGCTGCTATCAGTGTCTTAGTAATTTATTCCTGTCTGTCTCCCTTCTGTAAAATGTTTCAACAGTCCAAAAACAGTATCTCTCCTTCATGAACCAACCCCTCGTCTTCTGGAACTGTCAGAATAATATAGTAAAGTGTAGAATCCGGGATTTGGAGTCAGATAGAGCGAGGTTCAGATGAAGGGGGTGACTGTGTGCTATGTAACCTTTCTGAGGATGTTGGGGCTTATTTGTTTGTTTCCATGCATACAGTGAGGATTGCAATAGTGTCTTCTTTTATATAAGGTACATTATAAACACTAAGTTAATGTTAGCTGATTGAGTTTGTCTTTTTCACTGCCATAGCTCCAGTCCCTAAGATAATTGTCTAACACAAAATCAATAAATATTTATTACATGAATGCCGTAAGCCCACTCTTTAGTCTTTTATACACTGTTCTATTTCCTAGAAGTTTATATGTTCCTTATTTTCCAACTCCTCATTCTGGATAAGCAACACAAGAGGCATGAAACTTTTAGAACTTGACATATATAAAGTAGACGTAATCCTTACACCTCTCAGAATTCCTGTCCTCAGGGAAACAAACTAGAATCTTAGCAATTTCTTTCTACTGTATTAGAAATATCATTTGATTCAAAATATGATCTCTGCTAATTAATTAAGTGACTTTGGTTAAATCAAATAAATTTCCTAGCTCGCATTTTCATCCTATCTAAAATGAGAGTTCAGTTGTTGATAATCTTGATTTCCTTCTATCCCTAAAATTTTATCATTTCCTATGGCTGACTCAATATTAACAATATGTATTTATTTAGGGGAGGAAGCTGAAGTCCTCAGAAGACATAGCTTCGCTGATGACAATATATTACTGAATTCCAGTGGCATTTTAGTTGGAAATAGTTCTGGAAGCCTCAATGGAGAAAGGTCTCTGCTCTATGACAGTGGAGATGGATTTGGAGATGAAGGGGCTGCAGGAGAAATGATTGGTATGCTGTATAGCTATGTAGAAAATGCATATTTATTTTAATCAGATAAGTACAATTTATTAGCATTTCTGGGTGGTACAAATGACGAATGTGTTCAACTGCTAAATAAAGGGTTGAAGGTTCAAGCCTACCAAATGGCACCTTAGAAGAAAGGCGTAGTGATCTACCTGTGAAAAGTCAGTTATTGGAAAACCTTAGGGAGCATACTTGTATTCTGATGCACTTGTATTCTGATCCACAGCAACTGGTATATCTAGATATAGTACAGTTTATCAGTAGATTGATTAGAGCAAACTGAAATTTCAGACATGCTTCGGTGTCATGCTGTGTCATGAAATTTTAGACATGCTTCTAGCTCAGCATATTTATACAAGGTCTCAAAGTCTATGACCCAAGTAAATAATCACATGTTTAAATAAACTTTCATATAGACTATGAAATGTGTGCTTTTACTGTCTTTTTACAAATTTCTAATTTTCAAAGGGGATGGAATGAGTTTGGTATATACGTCATGAAATATGCTAGACCATAAACTGGAAACCATTGTTTTTATTTAACGTAACTTGTGGGACAGCTATTCTAAAGGATCTGCCCGCCAGTGGGGATAGTATTTAAGCTGATCATAGAATTAGAGTGACCCAGACACATTCTAAAGATACTGGAATGTGTGCTTGACACGATGGATGGATGGATGGATGGATGGATGGATGGATGGATGGATGGATGGATGGATGGTGATAAAGTTGTATGAGCCCCCAATAAAATGATTAAATTTTAAAAAAAGATATTGGAATGTTCTTATCTTTTTGATGCTCTAATTCACAATAAGGTATAGTTATGAAAAACATTTTGAGCCTTGAAAATTTTAAAACAAAAACAAAAAAAGTAGCTTTATCTTTGTTCTCTGCTGATGGAGTTTGAAACATTTAAAAATTATTATAGCACATTTACCTCTTGTTTTGAAATTAAATATGGCTGTGTACAAAGCTACCATCTGCTTATTGGCTTCATAAATATGTCCTGAATTTAAACATTTGGAAATGGATTTTTAACAAGAGAATCCAGCCCACTGCCACTGATTCTGACTCATAGTTGATTCTGACTATGGGACAGAGAACTGTTCCATAGAATTTCCAAGTACAGTGAACCCTCGTTTATCGCGGTTAATCGGTTCTAGACCCTACCGTGATAAATGAAATTCCGCGAAGTAGGATTCCTTATTTGTAAATCAAATATTTTCATAGTTAGAGCATAGAGGACATGAAAAAACACCCTTTAGTCACCATTACACTCGTATTACCCAATTTATTAAATGAAAAAGGGAAAATACAGTAAAACATTTGGACGTTACAATTATCATTTATTATTTATTATATTATTTATGGCATCAAGCATGTACAGTATGAGCCAATCAGTGGCAGTAATGACAGAGCATGCGCTGTTTACACAAAAACCGCGATAGAGTGGAGCCGCGGAAGTCGAAGCGCGAAGTGGCGAGGGTTCACTGTAGTAGCTCTTGACTGAAGCAAATTGACACATCTGTCTCCCACAATAAAGAAAATGAACTTAAATATACAAAATTCTATGTTGTCCTACATGAAATGTGGTCGTCCACATAATGAAATCTTATCAGGTAGGGTTCATTCATTTTTGTATCCTTCACAATACTTTGTACTTAATAATGTCCATAAATGTTAGTGAGCAAAAAACTAATTCCACCTTGCTGGACAAAATTATTCTATTTTCAAGATAACATACTGCAAGATGATCATAATATGCTGTTAGAAGACGATCATTTAAGCAAAGAAATTTCCCTTCCTCCTGAGCCTCTCAATACTACAGTGGGTATGTTGAAAACACTCCTTTGTATTGAAAGTGAGAAGAGACTAATATTCAGATTACACCTCTGAACTTCTGAGCTCAAGTAGTGCTGTAGTATAGTGAAAGATAACCCAGAATGCTATCCTTCAAATGCTCTTAGGCAATAGAAAGCTGGATTTTGAGAAAGATGTAATGTATTACAGAATGTTTAAATACTCTGTCAAAATACTGTGTTTTAGAAGCATTAATATACATATAATGTGATAAAAATTATTAGTACACTTTGGCAATCTCTGTACAATTTATGTGAAATTTCACATGTGAAGCTATTTTTCTTACTTGAAATTCATGAAAAAAATTCTTCAGTGGTTGTAAGGTCCATTAGTCTGATTTTTTTTAAGTATTAAAAGCCTGATATTAATTTTTCACTCTTTTTAATATTACATTTGCTCTCTAGCAGAATGGTAGAAATTGAGGACATGGAGATAATTAGCCAATAAGAATCTAGCTATAGTTCTAGGAATCATCTGATAATTAACTAATGTATCAGAATGCAATTTTATCAAATATGTAATCAAATTTATGTCAGTGATTTATTTTGGTTGCTACTACTATTTTCACTTCCTCCATGACTGCAGCTCAGCCTTAGATGTCTCATGTGTAAGTGTAGGGATGCTTGTTTCTCTTGAACACTGTATAGAACACATAGTCTCCTCAATTCTACTGAATGGATGATTCTGAGAATTTAGATTTTACTCCAGTTAGAAAGATGCATATTAAATTCAAATTTTTTCACTTTAATTCTCACATTCCTCTATTGTGCAATATAATCTTACTTTTTATAACTGTTTTTATGTTGATTAGAAGAACTAGGTAATGCAGAAGGTGTATGTCATCCTGAAAATGAAATAGTGGATAAAACCACATTATTATCAACTGAAGAAGAAGGATTTACCCTTGAACCAATTATTGTTACAGGTCAGATGCACTCATTCTTTTTTTTTACATACTACTGTTTTATATACTATGACAAACCATTTGTGAAATATTATAGAAGTGGTTGATCTAAGAATAACATTTGTAAAACAAAGGAGTGTGAAGAACATTTGAAATGATCCTTTCATTTTATTCAAAACTCAGAAAACTCACGGCCATCAAGTCAATTCTGACTCATAGCAACCCTATAGGACAGACCAGAGCTACCCCTGAGGATATCTAAAACTAAATCTTAAAGAGAGTAGAAAGACTCATCTTTCTCCCACAGAGTGGTTCGTGGTTTCAAACTACTGACTTTTCAGTTAGCAGCCTACTATGCCATCAGGGATCCATTTCATTTTATTGAAATGGATATATTTCCATTTGGTCAAAAGATATATCCTGGTCAAAAGATATATCCAGTTTGGAAATCTGGAAATTTTAAAACGACCCAGTTCACATAGTTATTGCACTGCTACTCTATGTTGGTCACTAAGTTGAAGGCAGAAATGAATTGGACAAGGTTCCTGCTTTCGAGAAGTTTATAATCTGGTCAGTAAGATATATACATATGCAACAAAATATAAGGTAGAATAAAAGTATCAGAAGAGAAGCACTATGCCCTTTAGAGGTTTGGATAAAGGAAAGAATATTTCTGTATGTGAAATGAGAGGAGACTTTGGAAGAAAGTAGCATTTTATTTGAATTTTGAAAAGTCAGGTAGTATTTTAAAAGACAGATTTGAAGAAAGAACATTCTTGGATTAAAACAACAACATCAACAATTCTGAGAAAAGATGGGAAGTTTCTAAAACCGAAGGGTGTGTATAAACCGGCAACTGAGTTTGGTTGGAAGATAGGTAAATGAAAGGTAGTCATTGGCAAGGCTCTTGATTAGATTGGGGCAGAGAGTGAAGGAACCTGAATTCTGAGTTGAAGGATCTTTTAAAATTTTTAATGTGGGTAGAAAGTCATCATGTTATTAAAAATAAAGGAGTAGCACTCTTAGCTAAAGCATCGGGCTGTCAATCACAAGGTCCACGATTCAAACCCACCCGCTGCTCTCCAGGAAAGAGTTGAAGCTGTCTGTTCCCAGGAAGACTTTCAGCTTCAGAAATCCAACGTAAGATCACTAAGAGTCAGAATTGACTTGACGGTTAGTTGGTTTGCTTGTTTGTTTTTGGAAAACGAATTTGGTTGTAGGCTATAAGGAAGGATGAATTGGGAGATCATTATCAAAAGTTAGTATGCCAGGCCCTAAAACCACCCTTCCTGGGTTTCAGTCCTTGCTTTGCCTTTCATAAGTTTTGGCACCATGTAAAAGTTACTTAAACTCTCCAGTCTCAGTTTGCTAACTCACAGGGTTCTTGTGATGATGAATGGTGTAATCTATGTAAAGCACTTAGGCCAGTACTTGGCATATAGTGCTACATATCAGCAATTATTGCCATTTTAATTGAAGATGAGAATATTTCAAAATCCATAAGAATAGCAGACAGCAGTAGAGAGGAAATGCCTCATCTGGAATACAGGAATAAGAAGAAGCAGCTGAGAATGACTGACTGGGAAGATAGGAGGAAACTGAAGCCATGGGATGAAAAATGTTTTGAGACTAGAAAAGATGGTTAGCATCTTTATGTGTTATGAAAGGTCCAAAATATTAAGAGCCCAAAGCAGGTCATCAGCTTTAGTAATTAGCATATCACTGGTGTCTAATCAAGTTATTTCAATAGGGCAATGGAGTTAGAATTCTTACTTAAGTGACCAAAGAGTGAATGGGTGAGTGGCAAATAGAGGCAGCCTATGTAGATTATTCTCTATTGATTCAGATTTAGAAAGCAAATATATAAGAAGTTAGTTTAATGTCTAGGGAATCTAGTAAAATTAAAATTGTCACCTGACTCAAATCTGAGAACAAGCAGAGGAGAGATCAACGGCAATCTAATCATCAAACATAGGGAGAGATGCCCCTCTTCTCTGAGTTTAAGATGCACGTTTTCCCACACTTGTTTCCTGAAGCTCAGAGAATACCACTTCCTAATCAATAGTTTGCGTACTATAAGATTCTTCCCCTCCTAACAAGAGCTGCCATGACGTGGGTAGGTACCTTGCATTCATTTGCTCAGCACATATTTACCAAGGTCCAGTTTTGTGCTCATCTCTGGAGTCTTACACTTGGGAAAACACAGGAACAATTCTTGAAATTTAACAGAGTCATATAAAAAGTCTCCTCTTTCTAACATGTAGCCTCAAACATGTCTTAGCAATAAATAATAAATATTAATATAATATACAACTAGGCCCTTTAGTAACACCTTCATTTTAAGGAATATAACTGATAAGAATTTCATGTTACCCACTCGGGTAGGTAAGGAATAACACATTTCCTTTTTTTTTTTTTTTTCATTACTAAATTCAATTCTGAGCTCCTATTCCATGGGCTGGCAGGAAATTCAGTTCTGTATGGCTCCTCCTTCGTCCCTCTCAGATTAAAAAAATGAACTCTCACCTACTGCCACTAGGTCAATTCCAACTGGCAGTGGCCCTATCAAGCAGAGTAGAACTGCCCCTGTGAATTTTGGAGACTGTGAATCTTTATGTAGACAGAAATCTCTGTCTTTCTCCTGTGGAGTGGCTGGTGGATTCAAACTGTTGACCTTTTGGCTAGCAGCTCAATGCATAACTTACCCCACGAGAGCTCCATCCATCTTCCCTAGCCCAAGTAAAGCTGAAAGGAGGGGGTTGAAGGTAGAAGGAAACCTCTGGTCATCATCAACACCATTCTATGGTGCCCATTGTCCAGCCAGCATGTGAGATAGTCACCCAGCTAACTTTTCTCGGATCTTGTCATGTTCCCGGGATTCTACTGAGGCACATCAGCAAACAGATTCCTACTCCTTCTGGTTCCATTTGATTTCTTATTCCACTTGATTCTACTCATTCTGGAATCTCTAGCCCTCCCTCACCTTTTGCACATGTACTAAAGTAAAACTTCCACTTTCTGTCTAAAGTTCCTGATATAACTAAATCCCATGTGCCTACCTATTTCTCTGCTATTGAATCAATACTGATTCATAGCAACCCTATAGGACAGGGTAGAACTTCCCCCTGTGAGTTTCCAAGACTAAATGTTTGGGGGAGTAGAAAGCCTCCTCTTTCTTCCAAGCTTATCTACTTAGGTGTATAAATTTCAGTTGAGGAGAAAGAAATACACTAGACAAATAGAAATTAATCTTTTAAGTTATCCTGCTACACAGACAGTGTAAAATTTTCAAGACTCTTTACATAGGGGTGGGGGGGGGGCGGGCTACCCTCTTGTTATAGTCCTGCTCCACATTTACCCGGTTGCCTGTTTATGAAGTCAACAGAGTCCCTCACAAGCATCTTTGAGCAGGCCCTTACAAACTGCATCAGCAACTGACTGCTCGGGCAAAAAACCTCGTAAGTATACTGTTTACATGAGAGGAAAAGGCAGATTTTTCTTTCCAATATAGCTCTCTGCAGTGCGTTGTAGTAGGTATTTCTTAGATGTGCAGTGCCTAGAATATCATTTGAAAAAGCTGTACAACCATATCACGTTTGTGACTTCTTACACGCAGACATTGCTGAGAAAAGGAAAAGCAAAAAGAGGAAATTGCTCATAGACCCGGTCAAGGAGATCAGTAGCAAAACCATGCACAAACAGCTGACTTGCTTTGCGGACACACTCATGGTTTTGGAACTTGCACCTCCGACCCAAAGACTGATGATGTGGAAAAAGAGGGGAGGAGTGGATACACTTTTATCAACTGCTGCTCAGGATTTGATTCATGCTGAACTAAAAAGGGTAACAGTTTCCATCCCTGTACATGGACATGATGTTTGGTTGTAAATAAATACATGCATGTCTACATATACAACAAAATTAAATTTTGTGTAGAACAAAATGTCAACTTGTGAGCAGAAGTACCCCTTGTTTCATTTGAATTAATTTTCTGGTTGTATATGTATGAATTACAGGTTTTACTTTGTATCACATATAGTTGTATTTTAGCGAATTGCTTTACTTGCATTAAAAACAAAAATTAATTTTTTACAGTTGTTTACAAAATGCTTTCTGTCCTCTGACTTTAAAATTGGAAGAAAATTGATACATAAGGAGTCAGGAAGGAAAGAATTGGAAAGCCAAAGCATAACAGGTGAGCTCTCCCAATCGTCCAGTGATAAGAAACACATTTAAACAACATGACTAACCTAAAACATAGACATTGCCATCTAGACAGGGGACATATGGAGTATTAAAAATTGTCGGTTATTATTATGAAGTTATAAAGTAATAATGAAATTGGTGTATATAGTGAGTGAATCTGTATTCCTGATCGCCCTTCCTGAAGGCATTAAAATCGACTGAACAGAATACTAAGATGGTCTTCAGCACTGTCCAGATTGTCTTGTGAGTGAGTGTGGAGGAGAGGGGAGGAGGAGTAGCTATGAGAAAGAGTTAGAGGAAAGGAACAGGAAGATAAATCTGTGAGGGCTGGGGAGCCATTCAAATAGTCTGGGTGCCCTTTGCTTAAATGCTTAGATTATAAATTGTCTATAAAAATTTTTCTTAATGTTTTGAGAATGATGATGGCAATAAATGTACCAAATGTGCTTGACACAATGGATGGTTATATGGATGATGATAAGAGTTGTACAGGCCCCCCAATAAAATGATTTTTTAAAAAGTTATACAAGCCCCCAATAAAATGAATTTTTAAATTTCTTTTGTAACCATCATATCCCAATAAAATGAATTTTTAAATTTCTTTTGTAACCATCATAGCCCAATAAAACTTCAAAGATATTTTAGTGAAACTTTCTCTACTTCCTTGATAATTCAGAGACCTCCAAGATGAATGAGCCAAATGCCCAGCAAGAGTTGTGCCAATCCCAGACTTTGAAGAATGTGGTTGATGAATCCAACTGTAACTCTCAAGTGGATGCTGATCAAAATACTAACTCTGAGGTAAACTTAACCAGAGAGAATCATAACAATGTTCTTTTTCTGACACAGCTCTGGTGATTTTTCCCCTTAGGACTATTATGGAATATTAGGGCTCTGATATATTGTCTTCCACTTACAGCTAATATTTTATCTTCCATTGTTCTATCATTTTCTTTTAGTCAGTAGAAGTTATGCAGAGTGAAGGATCACTTTCATTTACAAAACAGTATTCTCTAGAAGTTTAAGATAGGAAATGACATGAAAAGTTAGTTTCATACTAAAATAGTATTTTGTTATCATGCATTATAGTATAATGCTGCTGTGCTTTACTCATTCAAGGAATGCTTTTCTTATTTGAATCTGACTCTATGCTGAGAATCCTCCTAGGCCCCACTTTTAATATCTCAGGGTATCTTTTAGGACTCTAGCCAGTAAGCCTATGCTTTATTTCTCATCATCTAAGAGTATTATTATGTTGTAGGCCCACAAGTTGGCCCTGAATCTAACCAACTATCTAAAGATTTATAACAACAACAAATTTTTTTCTTCAAAAGAATCTTTCAAAGTAGCTGGGAACAATGCACTTTAAAATATTTTTTTCATTGACCACCTTGCTGGTTGTACAGGTGTAAATATTATAGCCACACTAGATAAAAATAAACCAGTTCTTTTGTGCTCTGCTTCATCATCATTGTATTTTGATAACCACTCAGGGAATTCAAAGTCAATTCACACTGAAACTAAATGCCCTTGGAAGAAAAGACTATTTTGTATCTCATTAAAACAAAATGTGTTTTACTAAATATTTGATTGGATCGTGGATGTTAAGCTCCTGGGTTGCCAGTATAACTTTCTTCCTTCGATCGGCTTGAGTTCTTAGAGAGCATCTATAGAAAATTATGACTAGGCAAACTTGTTTAGTTTATGCTATTTTATAAAGAAAATATGACTCTAGTTATCATAGATATAGTAATAAAATATATATTTTTAAGTGCTTGAAGTGCAAAGGAGATCCTTGGAACATTTTACTGCTTTACACTAATTTAATGACATGTAAAATATTTTTGATCATGTCTTATTTTTTGCTTACAAAAATGCTGAACAGATGTGACATGTAGTCAGAGCATAGTCTATGTGAAGGGACAGGAACATGCTGATTCCGATGAATCATTCTCAAATCTTCATAAGACACATTTTTATATGAAGTAGTTACACTATTGAGAGTATCTAGAATATAAAGTATTTATAGAAATTAAAAAGCATTATGCCATGCATTATGGTGTAATGCTACTGTGCTATACTCATTCAATGAGTGATTTTCTTATTTGAATCTGACTATATAATGACTATCCTCCTAGGCCCCACTTTTAATATCTCATGGTATCTTTTAGGACTCTAGCCAATAAGCCAATGCTTTATTTCTTGTCTTCTATTCACCTTCCTTCTTCATAAGATACAATTTTAATATAAAGTAGTTACACTATTGAAAGTATCTAGAGTATAAAGTATTTATAGTAATTAAAAGAGGAAAACACAATAAGGCTCCATAATTGCATAGATTAAAGAATAAAATGCAACTCCTTGTACTGACTAACATTTTTCAAAGCTGAAGTGAAAACCCAAACTATGTTGTAGAAAGCTCCCAGCTGCTTTAAGGTCTGGGATGCCAGCTGGGGAGGACAGCCTGGAGACAGTTGGAAGATTGAAAAAGGACCCAATCGCTTATAGCAATGAAAAGGAGACAACTCCATAAGACTGGCAGAATTTCTGTTCTCCTTTTTCCTTCTTCCTTTATCTGTCCCCTCCTCTTCCAGAGCACAGACACCATTATCCCCTCCTTTTGCCACTGACAGTTCCAGCAGTAGTGGTAGGAATCCTGTCATGGCCTTTAGTCCCACCATTACCATCAAGTCAGTTCTGACTCAGAGCAACCCTGTATAGGGTTTCCGAGGGTTTGAACCGCCAACCTGGTAGTTAGCAGTCCCACACTTGCCCAACCATGCACCAGGGCTCCTATGACCCTGGAGAGGGATCTTAATACCTCTTTTCCTCACTCCCTCTGCTAATCCACTGCAGGTCTTTTCCCTCTGCCACTGGGCACTAGGATGAGATTAGAGGTTGGTGACTAAGGCTAAGCAAAATGCTTCAAAGGAAAGTGGTCCCAGCAATCTGATAGAGACTCTGATTGAGAGAGGGAAACAGAGGGAGGGAGGAGGGGTGTGCAAGTTCCCCATTTGTGGGAGACATCTGGGAAGCAGGACTGTTTTAAGGCAGGGACTACTTATCTGTAATATTACAGAAATAATATTTTGAGAGGTAGGTAGCATTTTAAATTAGTTTTGGAAATGAGGATTCATGTCATGAAAATATTCCGAAAATGATTTATCTTTGAGATAACTACTATTAGAATTACCTCTCTTCCTCTAACTTTCTTTAGCAGGATATTTTTGAAATGGTTTCTTCTGCTGCTGAGGAATTCTCCCCCACACATGTCTCCTTGGCACAAGAAGTTGAAAACTGTCCAGTCAAATTGGTAAATGTATGCTTAGTCTTGAAAAATTGTTAAAACCGTGTCCCTACATATTTAATGCCTTATTTATCTAAAAATTGCTCTTTAGCGCTATCATGTTTCTTTCTAAATTTATCATTTAAATTTGTTATCTCAACAACTGTGCGTGAGTAGTTTGACCAAACATACTCAGAATTGCTTTGGCTTTTTGTCTTCCATTGATTTTGAAACTTCAGCTAGTTTTAAAGAAAAGTGAAATATTTTTAGGCTTATCAAAAGTAATCATGAATTTTCAAATATTGACCATCACAGTTGAAAGTAATCCCTATAACATCTCTAGAAAAATAAAACTGCATTAGGAGTCTGTTCTAGGATCTTTGAAATTTCATTCTATTTTTTAAAATATGATAAGGCTTGTACCTATTCAAGACATCTAGAGGTCAAAAAATAAAATGGACAATGCCAAAGGCCACACATCAGTAGCAAAGCCAGCAGGAAAATCCCACTTGAACTTGCCTGTTCTCTATCTGCTTGATTTATTCAAGTCTTTGTCCCAGAGAAATAAAGGCATTTTTTCGATTACAAAATATTTTAAGGAAATAATATCAAAGCCCTTACTAATATCTACTTATTAATATATTTTAAAATAATTTTCATTTTAATGAGTTCTGAGACAACTAGGCTTTTTTTTCTTATATTAGAAACAGATTAAATTCTCTGGACATTAGGACAAATTTTAAAAAGAAATATATGTGTGTATATACATATATATAATTCATATCCTGAGCTATTACCTGAAACATCACATAGCTGAACCAGAAGAATCACATTTGCCTTTCTCCTTGCTTTTGTAAATGAACACAGGTTGTTTTCGTACACAGTGAAGCAAACCTCAACATAGCACAAACCCAACCATTGTAATAAGCCCCCAGGCACTCCTCACTGTGGAATACAGCTGTGGGATGTTCACACAGACCAGTGGTTCTCAACCTTCCTCATGCCGCGACCCTTTAATCCAGTTCCTCATGTTGTGGTGCCCCCCAACCATAGCATTATTTTTGTTGCTACTTCATCACTGTAATTTTGCTACTGTTATAAATCATCATGTAAATATCTGATATGCAGGATGTATTTTCATTGTTACAAATTGAACATAATTAAAGCATAGTGATTAATCACAAAACAGTATGTAATTATATATTGTGAAATACTTATATCTAATGACAAATAAATGAAATTTTGTCTTGCAGCATGGTGTAGCATATGTAACAGTCTTCACGCAGGGTATGGGTGGGCCCTCCTGGAGACGAACAGAGGAGCGGTGTCTCGGTTCCTAAGACCATTGGAAATATGTGTTTTCCAATGGTCTTAGGCGACCCCTGTGAAAAGGTCATTGGACCCCCAAAGGGGTCAGGACCCACAGGTTGAGAACCACTGACATAGACCAACCAGACAGGCAAAATCCACAGACTAGTTCTTCCAAGCCTCTTTCTGGGTAGTTCAGTTATACAATATAGGTGAAGAAGCAGCCTTTAAGGAAGAGTTGCACTATTGCTTTTCCACTTTAAAAATGTTCATATATTTAACAACATAATAAACAGTAAGTAGATGAACTCAGTTTCCTCACAACAGACCAGAAAGTAGCTTGAGGAATGTGGAAAAGTCTTCAGAATAAAGAAACCATATTTTCAAATCAGTCTCTTAGGAGCATAAGGACACATCATAGGCAGGTTCAGGAAGCCAGTATAGTTGGTGGGAATGAGGACTCCTCAGGTCCTAGGCTGAGTCCCCTTAGCCTCAAATGATTTTTTTTAATTATACAGAATATCCAGGAACTTTCTGAAATAATCTTGGAGTACAGAACATTAAAAAAACCTTTAAACTAAAACAAACAAACAAACACCTTTAGGAAATGTTGGAACAAACCCTGGGTGGGATGTGGGCAGCACCGATACTATTGGGTTGCATGGTCAGAGCTAGCCTCGGACAAAATGATAAAGTAGGTGAGAGTTGTGCCACTTCCCTTCCCCCATCTCTTTGTAGACCTGTTCTTTTTATCAACTCATCAGCACCTTTCCTGCGCCCAGTTTCTGTTTTCAGTTTATAAGGTGTTGGTTGGTAAGGGCGTACAGTGAGTTCCTGCTAAGGGATTTCACTGTAAAAATTTTAAATGCTGAAATGTTCCAGAGGTGGTCTCGCTTTGAAAACAGAAAGAATGAATCTGTTCTGGGAGCAAGCCTGGCAGTATGTTGATCTTTTTTGGATAAAGTACCTTCAAAATCTGAAAGCTTTTCTTTACCCAATTGTACACAAACACCAGTTACTTTTAGAGCTTCCATACTAACCAGGTAAGTTCAGACAAAGGCCTTTACAAGGCAATTTTTCTATAGCTTTAAGTTTATTCCTAACAGTGAAATTCAGATGGTCAGAGCTAGGATAGCCCTAGGCAAAAATTCTTGTCTTTGGTGACTTTCCTTCTGAAAGTAAGGGCACCTTGCCTGGCATGCATTACCAATAAAGATGGCACTGTCACCGGCTCTGGAATCCCTTACCAGAATGTAGCCCTGGGAACTTAAGTGTTAGCCTGGGTAGGATGGTCTATATTTGTATGTAGTTTTAGTCTCTCAGTTATCAGACTACAGATTTATTTGGTAAGACCTAGTGTTATTTATTGTTGTATTTCTTGTTGCAACTTAACACCATGCCCTGTAGATAGTAGAATATCAGTAAAATTTAATTAAGTGAAATATTTATCAATTATTTAAACAGGCGTCATTGGAGAATGAACAAAATATTGAGGCAGAGAGGTGGAATCGGAGAATTCTTCGACTGTTAAATAGTTTACGGGTAAGATGATATTTTTCAGGCAACTTCTGCTAGAGAGAGAGATGATGGAGGTGCTATTCCCAGGGATAGTTACAGGAGTTTATTTTGGGTATTGACATGTTCTAATCAACTTCCTGAGCCCTCATGGCACTGCTGGGTAAGCATTGGATTGCTATCCACATTGTTAGAGGTTCAAACCCACCGGCTGCTTTGTGGAAGAAAGATAAGCCTGTCTACCCCCATAAAGATTTACAGCGTCGGTAAACATATCAACTTATTAGGGTTGCGCTCTCAGTTGAAATCAACTCATAGCATCTGTTTTTGGTTAATTAACTTCTTATCTATACTTATGCATTTATTGTTTGCAGTTCTACAACTAACACTCAATATGGAATCAAGTATCCACCAGTTTGTGAGTTATAATTCAGAAAATTTAAAATTTTAATGTATTATATTTTATCAAAATAATATACATATGTAATTTTAAAAGTTCAATAGTGCTGTGTAAGAAAGAAAAGACAAAAGTCTTCTATCATACCCTTACTTATCCCTAAGTCCTGCTTGCTAGTGGCAACTATATTAAACTCCTTAAGCTGTTTCTTTTAGTGTTTATTACCATATTTCTTTTAATATGCCTCCATAACTCTTTGTTGATATTTTTAGTTTTAAGTTATAGAGGAGACTTTTAAAAGGCTATGACAAATAGTATTAAAAGATGGTGATTTTAAGATAACTGTGTAGGAAAAAGTTAGAATGTCTTTCTCTACGAGATGAAAGTCTAATTTGATATGACAGCTATGCTTACAAAAGTGTCAGGGACCCAAATTCTCTTATATCCTTGTCCTCATTCTTCTGGTCCAAAATGGCTGAGTACCCACCAGGTCTGCATTTGAATAAGCCCAGAAATTATGGTTCCACTTTTGACATCTCACTGACCAGAACTTAATTGTGTTGCCATATGCAGCTGGGAAATATAGTTTTAAAATAGTTTTATCAGCATATACTTCACATAACATACAATTTAATCATTCATTCATATTAAGACAATTTCTACAATCATCACCACAGTCAATTTCAAACACGTCCTTCTCAGACTCAATATTGTTAGCTCCCACTTCCCCTCCAGACTTCCCCTGCCATGCCCCTAGGTCATTATTAATATCGGCCAACTTGCTGTCTCTATAGCTTTATCTGTCCTGGACTTCATGTAAGGAACCCTGACGGTGTAGTGGTTGTTCATTGAGCTGACATCCGCAAGATCGTTAGTTTGAAACCACCACTCACTCCATAGGAGAAAGATGGGACTTTCTACTCCTATAAAGAGTTACAGTTTCTGAAACTCACAGGGGCAGGCAGTTCTACCCTTCCCTATAGGGTCACTTTGCGTTGGCATTGGTTGACATTGGCTGGATGGCAGTAAGTGAGTGGATTGCATATACAGAAAATATACAAAACACAAACAAGAAGCAGGAAAAAAAAGAGACTAGAAAAACAGAGGGAAAACTTCCAAGGACTCATACATTCCCAAATTTCTTTGGCCTACTACCTACTTTTGAGAAAATATTTACCCAGTATCTCCCTGGCAATTTACAACTTTTGTACTATAATCCATAGGCTAGAATAAAGTGTAGGCATCTCCCTTTGCAGCCTCCTGGGTGGTGGCACAGTGGTTATGCATTGGGCTGCTAAGCACAAGGTCAGCAGTTAGAAACCACCTGTCACGAAGGGTAGTTCAACCCTGTCCTATAAGGGTCACTTTCCATCACCCCCCATGGGGCAGAATTGACCACTTTGGGAAGCACTGATCTAGGTCTCTAAATTTCTGATGGCAGTGTTTTCATCTCTTGTACTTACACCAGATCAAAATGGCAGTTTTAACATCCCAAGGAACCCAAACCATGTTCCTTTTCAATGTTCTTTGAGTTTAAGAGACAAAAAAAAGTCTGAAGGGTCAAGATCAGGACCGTAGGGTGGATGACGTAAGGTTTACTTACTACCCTCAATAAGCAGGTGCATTGTTGTCATGAAAACATTTCCTTGCTGTAACTTTCCTGGCCTTCTCTCACCAATACGGTTTTCAATCTTCTTAAAACTTCATCATAATTAGCCTCCATGATCATCCTGTGTCCTTCAAGAAAATCGATAAAGATGACTCCTTTGTAATTCCAAATCCAATCACCATAACCTCTAATCCCGTCTCTAGTGTAACTGGCCTAACTGATCTTTGAGGTCACTGTTTTGACTAGACCTTTTTTTGTTTTTTGTTTTCTGTGAAGACAGCCTAATGAGACGAAGACAACTCTGTTACTGAGAGAGCTTATCTGCAGTCCTGTCTTGATTGTAGAGACATGTTTAAACATGTTTTGTTTGGAAGAGATGCATGCAGTTCTGTTACTTACTCTTGCATACCAGAGCAAAACGTTCCTCAGTCCCTGCCGTGTCCTCACGGTCCGGGATGTGGTAAGCCCACCTTTGCAGCCTTTGTTTCTCCCATTGTGTTATGGCCTCCTTTTACCTTCAGCCCAGTGAGGGTACTATTATGGAAAAGCAGGAGGATGGACATTTAGGCCAAGCAGCAGTTGCAGCCACAAAGACAATGTAAAAATTATTTCACATGGAAGCTTCATAGTGTAGTTATGTTTTTTTCTTGTCAATTTTTTTCTGGATTTAATCATTGGGTCGTTTTCCTCACTTGATTAGTGTCTATATAGGCCTTTTAACTATTTTTCCAAACCGTCTGATAGTGCAATACAACGCTTTTAATATGGTCAAATGCATCAATTGATTCATCAGTTCCTTATTTTGTTTCCTCCTGGACCTCATCAGCTGCTCTTGCTAAGCTGGACTAAGCACTCGCTAGGTCTGGTCCTCAGGTTCTTACTTGGGACATTCCTTTATGGTAAACATGAGAATTTCTTTGTCTCTTCCCCCATCTATTAGTTCTCCTGTTTCTGGTGCCGAAATCTTCCTTTCTCTTGTTTTGGTGGCTAATATCCTCTTAAATTTCCAAAAAGAGTGCATAGGAGATAGAAGCTCCACAAGTCTGAAAATCCCTTTATTTTACCTGTAACCTGACTGGCTGTCTCTAGACACAGCATTTTAGATTGAAAATAATTTCTCTCAGATATCAAAGGCTTTGTGACATTTATAGATTGCTCACACTGTTATTGAAAAGTCAGATGCCGCCCTGGTTGATGATCCTTTGTAGGTGACCTTTATTTTCTCTCTGGAAGCTTTTAGATCTTTCCTTTATCCTTGGCAACCTGAAATTCCATGATGGTGTGCTTTGGTAGGGGTCTTCTTTTATCTGTTGCGCTGAGCCGCAGTAGGTTCTTTTCTTCTGGAAAGTTATGTCCTTGGGTTCTGGGAATTGGGTTTATTCCTTAGCTCTCCTTTCGACCCTCTGGTCGCTTTTTCTAGATGGCACATCTCGGAGCCCCTGCATTGCTCCTTTTGTTTTATAACAATCTTTTCTCCTCTCTGAGGTTCCTGTCACCTTTTTATTATTCTGCTTGCTCAAAGATGTCATCAACTTTATTTTCTAATTTTTATTCAATTTTGTTTCTGTTGTTACAGCTTTGTTTTCCAAGGGATTTTTGTGGTGGTGGTTAACTAGTCTTTTGTTTTGTAAGACCCTAAATTTTTTTTTTAGTAATTTAGTGTTTTTAATAGTTTTGTTGAAGTAGGATTAATATACAATAAAGTGTACCTAGTTGAAGTATGCAATTCCAAAAGTTTTGACATATGCATACACCTGTGAAACCATAACTACTATTGAGATCATGAAGACATCTTTTACCCTAAATCTTTCCTTGTGCCCCTGGGTAGCCCCGCCACCCATCCCAGCTTCCACTTCTCAAACCCTTGGCCTTCTTTATTTCACTGTCATCCTCGTGCTGTTTTATGGATGCAGTGTTTTAGGAGATTATAGTTTTTGTCTGTCTCTGTGTTGTCTCTACTTCCTTAATGACCCCTTTGAATGCATTCTTTTTTCCCTCTCATGCCAGAGATTTTACTCAGATGTTTGGTGGATCTGTAGTTACCTGCTTTTATTTAAGAGTGAGGCACCAAAAAGTTGATGGGAAAGTATACATTAATGGGTAAGGTGGTGGACGTCTGGGCTCTATGGTGGGGCACCCCACCTATCATTATCTAGAGGTCTTTTTCCTCAGAATGGCCAGTTTTCCACATAATATGCAAGTCGACTGCCTGGGGAATATGAACAGGTTATCAGTCGTTTGGAAAGGAAGAGAGAGGCTGAGGGTCTCACTGTTGGAAGGGGCCAGTTCCGCTAGCGCTCCCTGTTGGTGCAGTGACACTGCTCTACCCCCAAAGTGCTGGGTGCCTCAAGAGCAGAGTCTCCGTGGTGGGTACCTCAAGAAACGCAACCTCCTGCTACCTGCTAGAATATGGGAGGTGTCGTTTCTTCTTTCTGCGAGGCAATGGTGGACATGAATACCCAACTGCTCTCGGGTAGGCTTTTAAAGAATTCCCGTGTGTTCAGCATCACCTCACATCCCATGCTTATGACATACTCGTAGTCCCTGAACTTATCCAAGGGTCTGTGGCTTACGTGACTGGCTTTGGGCTGGTTTTCCTCCCAGTTGGCCCCAAGGTTTGAGCTTCCTCTACTCTGTTAAATCAATTCTGTCTTCTACTTAGCTTTGTCTTATCTCTCTCCTTGGTCAATTTTTATTTTTCACCTCCATTTTAGAAAGATTTCTAGAGGGAACAGAAATATGCACATATGTTCAGGCTTGTAGACACCCCCCCCCCCACCTTTTTTTTTAAAGATACTTGAAATTGAAAATGTGTCCCTGCTGTCCTGCAGAGGGAAAAGCTATCTAATACACATCTGTTCTCCTCAAAGATTAGAAATGAAGTCTTGTATATTGTTGTCACATGCCTTTGAGGAGATCTGAGTCATGGGGGCCCTTATAGGAAAGCCATAGGGCGGCCTTGGCAGGACTCTGTGGGAGCAGATCGCCAAGTATTTTCTCTGACTGAATCACTGATGGGTTTAAACCACTCATCTTCCTAGGCTGAGTGCTTAACCACCGTTTCTATCGCTGAGACTTGGTGTGCCATCCCTGAAACGTTGCTTCTCCTTTGGTTGAGATAAAGTAAATAAATAATTTATCAATTTTTAAAATGTTATAGACTGAGGCATGGGGGGAGGCCTGCATATAATATTTTGAAAAATACTTCACAACCATCCAAAGAACTCTGTATTTATAAGGTTACTGACCAGCATTCACTAGTGTTTCCAGCCCCAAAACTATACTTGTCTAGGAGGAACCTGGCCTCAAGTTCTATCTTCATAAAAGGAATTATATTCATCCATATTTAAATACTTTACCCCACCTCAATTATTTCTGGTAAACACATAGGTACTCTGTAGTGATCTCAACATCCGTTTATTCTGTGCAAAGAAGCTGGGAGATGTTTGCGTCGTCATCTCCCCACGTCCTACATCTCCCACTGCTGTTGTTATGTACCTTTGAGTTATAGGCTCTGAATGACCGGGAACACGGCCTCCGTAGGGTTGCCTAGGTAAGAAGATTTCTGGGGGAAGAGCACCAGGTCTTTTCTCCTATAGAGCGCTACGGGGTTTGAACCACTGACTTTCTGGTTAGCAGCCAAGAACTGAACCCCAACGGAGTTCTTTCCTTTACTGCCGGAGTTGTTTATAGTGACTCTCTCCAGTGCCTTTGAGAAGAAGATGGGCTGATCATTTTCACTGTACCTTGATGTCCCCCAAACTCTTGTGGATTCTCTCCCCACCTAAAGTATACACTACTTGCACTTTCTTCAGGAACCATTTCTGTTAACATCGTTTTTCAAAAGGGTCTAGCATTTGTTTAACATATTAGAAATTTAAAAGAAAACATATTAGAAATTTGTGCAACCTTGTAAAGTTATTTTGCATGCATTTGCACAATGAACCAAACTTGTGCTCAGTAAACAATTTTTTCCCAAGTTTACTAAAAAATGCCCTTGTGTTTCTCCATTTAAGCATTTGAGACACTTATCAAAAATGTCAATATTTCGCCATTCATTATGTAGCCACAGTATCATGCCTCCTCTTGTTCTAATGATCTTCTTTCTCCTTTCCTCCCCTCTTTCCCAATTATTTTCCCAGGAATCCAACAAGATGGGAATTCAGGCCTTTAGTCTAATGAAGCTCTGCAGAAATAGTGACCGGAAACAAGCAGCTGCCAAATTTTATAGTTTTCTTGTCCTAAAAAAACAGCAGGCGATTGAGCTGAGCCAAAATACTCCCTATGCAGACATTATAGCTACAGTGGGACCAATGTTCTATAAGATGTGAGATGTGAAGGAAATCCAGTTGTCCAGGGTGATGTCATCACTGGAATTTCGTGTTGATTTTCCAATTTAGTGCAGAAGTCACCTGGAAGCAGCTGAAGGTCTGAGTCACTGCATAGATAAGCAGGCCTCCTATTTCCTCTCAGCAAGTGTTCAGTAATCATCACCAGCATTGGAAACCTTTATGCTTACAGAAACACTTCATTATAGCTAAGAACACTTTTTAATTTAGCTAACTTGAATGGCTAGCCTATAGCTTTTCTCCATTTTTAGTGTAGCATTTAGCTAAATAGGATACATTTTAAAAACTTGATATGCCTTTGAGAAACATTCTAGGATGTTTTTAAAAGGCTAATTTGCATCAGGTTATTTATCTTTTATGGTGTTAATAATTAAAGCGATGTTATTTTCTTACAAAAATAATATATATTAATGTATATCATCCCCCAACTTGACCAAATAAATGAGTTATATTCACCTTTAATGTTTTAAATTATCCAAGCACCTTCTAATCTATTTGGAAGTTAAACTTTTTAATTTACCGCTTAATGATTATCATAACCACTGTTAATGAGTCAGAAAAAGCAAATCTACTTCTTGTGTTACAAAAAAAATAAGCAGACACTATTTCAGCATATTGTCTGCAGCGAGAAATTTGAATAAAGGTCACTAAAATAAATCTTCTTTAATTGAGCATTTTTTGACATTAACAATGTTTGTTTATCTTCTCATTTGAAGTTTGAGTTACAAAATTTTCATATTATGCTCTGTGACCTCCAGAGCAGACTAGAAAATTGAGCTTATGATACTTTCTAAAACATTGGTGTATCTGGAATTATACTACAAGCAGCTAAATTTGAAATGACGTGTTTGAATGTGCTAATTTTAAGATTTGAGTGTCAAATTGATTGAAATTTTTTTATTTGTTAAATTAACATGTAGACTTTTTATTTTGGTGTATCAGTCAGTGAATTTTAACAAATGTATTAGAGTTCTCTAACCACCAGCATAACAAGGATACAGAACAGTAACATCATCCTAAAAAAAAAAATCACCATGCTGTATCTTTATAGTCACACCCTTCCCCAACTTGGCAACCACTGTTCTCTATAAACTATAGTTTTGTCTTTCTGCAATGTCGTATACAAAGAAAGTGTATATGACCTTTGAGACTGACTTCTTTATTTCAACGAGGTGTCTGAGATTCATTCAAGTTGTAGCATGTATGAGTGGTCTGCTCCTTTTTATTGTTGAGCAGTAGTTCTGTTGTCTGGCTAAAACAGAGTTTATCCATTTGCTCGCTGAAGGTAGCTAAGGTGGTTCCAATTTTTGGTAATTACAAATAAAACTGCCCTCCACACTGGCATACAGCTTTCCTGTGATAAGGTTTCATTTCTCTGGGGCAAAGATCTAGGAGTAGGATTGTGGGATCACTTGACAAGTAGGAGCCCTGGTGGCATAGGGGTTATGAGTTGGGCTGCAGTCCTCATGGTTGCCAGTTCAGAACTGCTAGCAGCTCTACAGGAGAAAGTTGGGTTTCCCATAAACAGCTGACAGTCTTAGGAACCCACAGTGGGGGCATGAGTCAGGCTGGACTCTATGGCAGTGGGTCTTTGGTATGGTAAGTACATGTTGAACTTCACAAGGTATGATTAAAATCCTCAGAGTGAGCGCATCGTTGTGTGAGAGTTCCAGATGCTCCACGTCTGTGACAACACTGGGTATCACTAGAATTTTATTGTTCAGCATTCTCAGAGGTGCAGAGTGGAAGCCACATAGTTTTCATTTGCATTTCTTTAATGGCTAATTGCACTGAACATCTTTCTTGTGCTTTCCTCATATTGTCTTTGGTAAATTATCTGTTCACTAAGTTCCTAGTAGATTTCTGAATTGAGTTGCTTGTTTTCTTACAGCTGGGTTTTGAAAATTCTTCATCTAGTCTAGATGCAAATATTCTGCCATATATATGTTTTGCAAATATTTTCTAGCCTGTAGTTTGTCTTTTCGTTTTCTTAATATCTTTGGTGGGGTAAAATTTTTAAAATTTTGATTAAGTCCAGTTTATCTTTTTTTTTCTTTTGTGAGTTGTGCTTCAGATGTCTTGTCTAAGAACTTTATTGCCAGTTCATTTAAACTCTCCTATGTTTTCTTCTAAAACGTTTAGGTTTTTACCTTACACATTTAGGTACTTTGGAGTTAATAAAAATCAGATGTGAGGTTTGTGTCAAAGTACATTTTTTTTGTACATGGATGTCCCAATTAATGCAGTATCATTTATTAAACAGAATATTCCTCCTCCATCAAATTACATTTGCACATTAATTTAAAATAATTTGCCCTATTCGAGCGTGACTGTTCCATCACTGTGAATCTTCATTTCATTCCAGGGCTGGAAGGGCGGATAATAAACCAATAAAGGTTGTCGCTATACATTTGCCTTTACTTGTCTTTTTCTGTCAGTAAGGTCATAAAATGCCCTTTTGTGATAGGTTTATTTTACTCAGTAAAATGTCTTCAGATTCCATCCATACCATAGATGGACCAAGATTTCATTTCTCCTACTGGCTGAGTAGTATTCCACTGTACGTGTGTATTATATTAGTTTATTCTGTGTGATGGGCATCTAGGTAGTTTCCACCTTTGGGCTGTGGTCCTGCAATGAATGCTGGTTTTCAAGTCTCTTTCTTAGTCCCTGCCTTCAAGTCTTTCGGGTGTCTACCTGGGAGTGCTTTTGAAGGGCCATCACACTGCTTTCCCCAGTGGCTTCCCCATCTTACATCCCACCAACGATTGACAAGGGGTCCACCTCCCCACATTCTCATCAACATTTGTTATTTCTCTAGTGTTAATTTATTTTTACCTTAGCCACTGTAATGGGGGTGACATGATAGCTCACTTTGATTTTGACTTGTATCTCTCTGGTGGCTGATAACACCGAGCATGTTTTCACGTGTTTAGGAGCCATTTGAGTGTCCTCATGGGTGAAATAGCTATTCAAGTACTTTGCCCAATTTAGAATTAAGTTAATTGTCTTTTTATTTAAGTTGTCAAATTTCATATCTATTTCTGTCACTAGAACTTGTCAGATTGGTGGTTCCTGAAGATAGTGTTCTACTGAGTTTTTTCATTTTGGTAAAGTCTCTTGAAGAGCAAATGCTTTTAATTTTTATGAGGGCCCATTCTTTATGTTGCTTTTTGCTGTGTGTGCTTTGGTTATTAGATAACCCACTGTTAAAACTAAGCACAACAGCATTGTCCCTGCTTGGTCTTCTAAAAATTTTATGGTTTTGTTTGCACATTTAGGCCCTTAATCCGTTTTGAATGTGTTTTTATGTATGGTGTGAGGCATGGATCCTATTTCATTTTTCTGCATATGGATGTCCAATGTTCTGAACACCATTTATTGAAGTTCTTTCTCCCACTGAATGGGCTTTTGACCCTGGTCAAAAAATCAGTGACCATTAATTTATGAGTTTATTTCTGGGTTCTGAGTTTTATTCCACTGGTCTATGTGTCTATAGTGGTATAGTGGGCTACTCACTGAGCTACTAACTATAAGGTCTGTGGTTCAAATCCACCAGCCTCTGCAGGAAAAAGATGAGGCTGTCTACTCCCGTAAAGATTTAAAATGTTGAACCCAAAGGTGCAATTTTACGCTCTCCTCTAGGTTCAGTATGAGTGGGAATTTACTTGACAGCAGCGAGTTTAGTCTTTGGTTGGTTTGTTTAATGTGTCTCTAGTGACAGCAGTCTCAGGGTGCTTTGATTACTACTTATATCCTATGTTTTAAAATCAGCAAGTGGAATTCTCAGAATTGTTCTCTTTGTGCTTTTAGTTACTTGGAGACTCTTGCCATTTCATATAAAGTTGTGGGTCGGTTTTCCTATTTCTGTGAAGAAGGTTGTTGGAATTTTGATCGAGATCGCACTGAATCTATAGATGAGTAACATTGACATCTTAACGATATTAAATTTTCCAAGCCATGAACATGAAACACCTTTCCATTTATTTGAGTCTTCTTTCATCTTTTTCAGCAGTGTCTTACAGTTTAAATTGTATCAGTCTTCGTGTCCCTGGTTAAAATTAGCTCTAGGTATTTTATCCTCTAAGATGCAACTGTAAAAGGAATTCTTTCCCGAATTTCTTCCAGGTTTCTTATTGCTAGCATTCAGGAGCCCTAGTGGTGTTGGGTTAGGCATTGGGCTGCAATCCGCATGGTCAGCAGTTCAAAACCACCAGCAGCGCCGCGGGAGAAAGATGGGGCTTTCTACTCCTGTAAACAGTTACAGGCTGGGAAAGCCACAAGGAGTCACTCTGAGTTAGCATTGGCTTGAGGGCAGTGAGTTTGGTTTCGTTTTTTTTGGTGTGCAGCAGACTGGTTTTTGTTCACTGATTTTGCACCCAACAATTTTGCTAAATACCTCTGTGAGCTCTAGGCGGCTTCTTGTGGACCCTTGGGTGCTTGGCTGCAATCTTTCAGGAGGCGGTTTGCAGGAACCATTCTTCTGTGGAGCGGGCTGGGTGGGCTCCACGTGCCATCCTGTGGGCTAGCAGCCAATGGCACACGTGCCATCCGAGGTCCTCAATTGGGGGTAAGGAAGCCTGATGAGCAATTGATTTGCTTATCATCCCAAACCAGACTGCCATCGGGAGAAGGGACTGGTCTAGGGCCACACGCGCTGCCCATGGAGCAGCGTGCCTGCCACCCCCGCCCCACAGCACCGAACGGGCGGGTGGGAGAGGACCCGGATCAGTGCTCGCCTCCCCACCGCGCGTCCTCTGGATGCCAACTATCTCTTTAAGAAGGAGAGCGGAGACGGGCCGCTTGCGCACGCAGCTGCCGGCGAGCCTCCGACTGGCTCGTCCCCTACAGCCACCTCGCCCTGCCCCCTCTCCCTCCCGGCAGCCCCAGCCCGGAGCGCACCCGGCTAGCCGCCTCCAGCAGGGGCTCCGGAGAGCAGGCTAGCGGCCCAGGCGGAGGCCCCGGCAGCAGAAGCCATGGACGCCTCCGCAGGTGATGACAGGGACCCCCGGGGACTCCCGCGCCCCTCCCCAGCCACGCCCGCCGCGGCGAGAGCGCCAAGGGCGGAGGGCGCGGGGTCTGTGAGGAGGGGACAGACGTCGGGCATGCTGGCCGCCCTCCCGGTTCCCTGGCTGCAGCAGCCCAGCTGTCAGCGGTCAGTGGGGGCTCAGCTGCCTCGGCGACCCCACCCCAGTCCCTCCGTTCACCCGCCGCTTTCCGCGCCCCTTTCCCCACCACCGCAGGTTGCTGAGCAGGCCCAGGGCTGCAGGGCGACTGCAGAGGCGCTGCGCCAAGCGGGGCCGGAACCGTGCGAGCCGGCAACCGGGCTGCGGAGGGCGTGTGGACTCAGGTGAGAGGCCGCCGCGGAGCCAGGGGGTGGGGGACGCTGCGCTGGCCCGGGCGGAGGCGGGGGCTTGCATACTGGCAGCTCAATGCGGTAGAATCCCACCGAGGGCGCGCCGGCCGGGGAGGGGTTAATCGTGACTCATTCTAGCCCTCCCTCATTCCCCTATATCCTCTTCTCCCCCATCACCACCCCGAAACTCACTAATTAGGGGATGCCGATTCAGCCAGGAAGATGCCCACGGTGGGGTCGGCAGTGAGGGGCATTTAAGACACCATCACCACCACCCCTCCCCAGTTCCCAGCTGCCTTCTCTTTTCCGGCGTTTGCCAATAAACACGAACACTTATCTGCTTTCCGTCTTGGGGGAGAAGCTGGGATCCCTGGGGATGAGGAAAGGCTGGGGCCCCACACCCACCCCAAGGTCAAGTGCCAGTGACTGCTTCCTTCCCATCTCCCCTCTGAGATGTGTCAGCCTGCGGTACATCTGCAAGGAGATTCCCCTTGGTCCTGGAGAGGGAGATCTGAAGCACCAGCTCCCTGCAGCCTCTCAGGGAGCCCCACATGCCAGCCCCCAGCCCTCCAGGCTGAAGGAGAGGCCTGGTCACACACCACACACTGCCTTTCCCTCTGCCCTCCCTGTCCATCTGGTGATCTTGGAAGGACTGAGGAGTTCCTCGGAGAAAGGTGATCTCTGTAGGCCAGGCAGTTTAGGGAAAGTACCCAGAGATGGGGGCCCCAGTCTCTTAACCAGTCAGCTGGCCACCACTCTCCTCTTAAAATTCCTTATGCCTGGGCAATCTGCCTGCTCATCTCTTAGGCTCCAGAGTTCGAGTGAATGGTTTCCACGATGTTTGTATGTCACTCAAGCAACTCCGATATGTCAGGGGACATAAGCTCAAGTCCATGCCACAACCAGGGTTCCCTCTGCTGACCTTCCTCCGCTCTGGAGTTCTTAAAGGGACGCGTTGATCTGGTGGGCCTCCTGGCACTGAAAACGGCAGATAGTCTGGATTGACATGTCTAGGTTGTCTCTGGGGTGCCCTTTGCCAAGGTGCTTTTCTTCCCCAAACTTCCATTTTCTCACCTGTCACACTGGGGAGAGGGATACCTGGCTCCTAGGGTTGCTGTAAGAGGAACTGAGCCATGGTGGGAGCACCCATGCCTGTGCGTGGCACATAGTTGCGTTCTCAGGGAGTTGCTTGTCCCATTGCCCTCTCTGTCTCCAGAGCCACCGCCATCATAGTGCCCAGCAGACCTCTGGACTTTGGAGATCAGCTGGGTAAGAGAAGGTGGCTGCTGAGAATCCCCTAGCCCCTGCTCCCCACAGCCCACCCTCCTGGTCACAGGCCTTCACATCCTTGAGGATGGTATCCCTGCGAGGGGGTGGAGAATGCTAGAGTTTGTTGGGTGACAAGGCAGATGGTCTAGGCAGCAACTGGAAGACGCAGCAGACACTTCTGGGAAAGGATGGTGCCAAGAAGGCATAGGCAGTGCAGCACAGGTTTGGAAAATCTTGCCATCAGAGGGGAACAAACGCAAGAGTCTCCAGTGTGGCAAGTGGGGCCAGAACTAAGCTTCAAGATTTGACATGCCGCTCCCTGGCCCTCCGTGCAGCAGCTCACTAGACCCGATCACCCCAATCACTAGGGCGAACCCGAATACTCCAGCCTTTCTTCCGTCCATGGAGCTGCGTACAGTCTGCTTCTGGACAGCACGGTTGCTGCATACCTTGGACTAAAAGAAGTTGCCATGCCTCCAGGCCATCCCCTCCTGTCCTGCGAACCCCATCAGACTGTGTGTGAGCTCCCTGGAAGGGACCCTTTGCTCCTCGCTGCGCCCCCAGCCTCTGGCTCGTGGCTTAGACACAGAGAAGGTGATCTGTAAATGATGACCCAATCAGGTGGTCGATCGCAGCAGGAATGAAGTGGTGGCATTAGGGAAAGGCACCTTGAAGTGGGTGGGAGAGGGGGCGGGGGCACAGTGCAAGTTGTTGGTTGTCCTTATTTGGGTTGTTGTGATCACTGATACTGTTATTCTTGCCATTCCCAACGGCGAACAGATCTGTTGCCTGTTTCTCTCGGCAGGCCTGGAGGTGCCAGATGTGGCTGGGGTGGGTGGTGACGTAGGCTAACAGGGATCCAGATGGTGCCGGCTGTGTAAGATCCCTGTGACGGGGAAAAGGATTCGGAAGGGAGTGATTACAATCATTGGCTATCTTTGGGAGAGAGTGACAGATAGGGAGAATCAAGTTGGTCCAAAAAGCAAGCACTCAAGTCAGGAGACCCAAGTCACAGACCTGGTTCTACCACTGTCTCGTGGTGTGACCCTGGGACAACGAGGCCATCTCTACAGGCTTCATTCCATTCGCCCACCTATAGAATGAGGACCCTGGGATAGCTGGGGTTGAAAGCAGCACCGTTTCTGGGATAGCTGCTATTATCAGCAACATGTATGGAGGACCAGGACCTGACGTTGCAGTGGTGGAGCACTGTCTGTGGTTGGAACCCACGAGCCACCAAGGGAACACTGTGGCCGTCTGCTTCGCACCATGATTTGCAGGCTGGGAAATCCCGTGGGGCAGTCCTTATGGGCAGTTCTACTCTGTCCCGTCGTGTCACCGTGAGTTGGAATGGATTCAACAGCACACAGCAGCATGAACAACAGAATGCTTCAATCTTCGGTGATACCCAAGAAGAAAGTATACCGATGTTAAGGATGAGGAGGCCGAGGCTCAGAGGGATTGAGCGACTCACCCCTGTGTGCCCAGCAAGAAGCGAAGGACATATGACCGACCACCATATCTATCGGACTTGAAAGAGTGTGCCCTTACCACCGCGGCTGGGAGCTGTGTGTGCACTTGCCCTGGTGCGCATAGGGGGTGAGGGAAGGGGAAACGGGAAGGGTTCACCACAAGAGAGCAGGCATTTCTCCAGTGGAAGCTGCCGGGGACGCGCTGGGTTGGAGGGTGTGTGAGTCACCGTCAGAGCTGCCGGGTCGATGGGGGCAGGTGGAGAAATGCTGGATGAATAGACCCACTTCTGCAGCACTTCCTCCTTACTCCTTGGCTCTTCCCTTTCTGCTGTCGCTGGGTGCTATCCAGTCAATCCCGCCGCGCAGTGACCCCGGTTGACAGAATGGCCGCCGGGGAGTTCTTGGCTGCACACTCTCGGAAATCTCTCCCTCCCATGAACCATTGGGTTGATTAGACTCGTCCACCTTCCCAGGAGCAGCTGGACGCTTAACTGCATCGCACTCCGGGGCTCATTCCCTTGATCTTGTCCACTTGACAAATGGAAATCACCAGGGCACAAAGTGTCCTGCCCGGGACCATAGACAGAGTCCATCTTCTTGAGACCCTGCAAGGACATTGGGTAGGATGCTGGTCCAGAAGGTGGCTTTAGGTCTGAATCCTCCTACGGAGTGAGTAACCTTGGGAAGCCACTTCCATCTGAGAGCCGGCACTCCTGTCCCTCCCATGAGTCTGGTGTAGCTACTAGCTCGAAAAGGCCTAACTGCAGCCTGGCCCCAGAACAGCCTTTTATGATAGCTTAGCCAGCCCTGGGCTACGTGCAGGGATCTGAGCATGAGTCCGTGGTGATCCCTCGTCCCACAGCGCCCTCTCTTCACAGACACCTAAGCATGTAAGTGTGAGGAAACGTCGCGAGACTGCGAAATAGACTGAGGTGAGTGCCATGGGGATGTGGCTTTCCGACTGAGCCGGTCGGAAAGGCTTTAGCTTGAGGATGCTGTTGTTGTTTTTCTTGTTTTTCTGTGTTGGAGTTTGCCCACAAAAATAAGATTCCACCCAACGTGAGATATTCCCAAACTGTTCTAAAGATTTCTGGCCCCAAGCACTGCACCCCATCCCTTCCAAGGTATCTGAGGGTCCTGCAAGCTCACTGTGTGGCACAGTCCCTAGGGAGCCATCCGTTTGTCCCAAGAGGACCAGGCCTTTCCATTCCTGTGCTTGGAGGCTTTGTTTGAGAGGCAAGGCTCTGAAATTCCTCTTGAGAAATCTGTCCAGTGTCAGTTACCACCCAACAGACTCGAAGATCTCTTTCCTTGGGTCTGTCCTCAGCATTCCACTTGTCTGGAGAGACACCCAACACCTCAAAAGGGTGAAGATGTTTACCCAAGATTACTCAGCGGGGCTGGCATCCTAACTGGCCTAATGGGATTGCACTTCTGAGCCACATGGGGTCTTTTTCTACCGGGCCCCCTCAGGACTGCAGGAGCCAGGTCTGTTTTGGATGGCCAGGTGGGCCTGAGGAAAGGCACCGGGGCTGGGAGAGGGAACGGCTTGTGCTCCCAACACAGGCTGCTATGCTCCTCTTAATGGATAGATATTTATGAAGTGTTTGTCACATGCTCAGCGCTGTCCTCGGAACTGAGGTGCTGAGCGACTCAGAGAGGCGTGTCTGGAAGCAGCCCGGTGCAGTGGCAAGAGACGCAGGCCTGTCCCAGCTCTGCTGTCCATGGCTGGGTGGCCCTTTCCTTCCCCACACCTGCAAAATCTGAGGCAGCGTCAGGGATCTCTAAGGACCCTGCGCGTTCTCACTGGTTAGCAATGCAGCAACTCTTCCCGTGTGCTGTGGGCTCCTTGAAGGGCTACCGTGGCTAGGACACAGGTGAGCTAAGGAGACTAGAACAAATGCCCCGAGGGTGTGCTGGAGGGAAGAGGGCTTGGAGAGCTTGGTTCAAAAGCTACCTCTTCAAAGGATGGTGCAGTGAAGTAGAACTGGGGTTGTTGGTTTGGTTTGGTTTTGTGTTTGGAATTTTTTGTTTTTTTAACCAGAAGCAATAAGAGTGGCATGTGGTCATCCTGGGACAGAGGGCCATTTAGTAGAGTGATGCTCCCTGCACTTAGATTTCAGAAACCAGTGTATTTGGGGGATCCATCGTGTTAGCCAACTTTTAATGTTGACAAATAAGAACACTCAAATTGCATTTAAGAGTTCAGTTGACTACCGCGATCACATTCTAAGGGAGAGCATTTGAACACCC